TTTTTTGGATGACTTTTCTATCTATCAGGCTTTAGGTTGAATCCCCAAACTGTGAATTTGATTGCAAGACGGTATAGCACCAATGGGAAGATCACCTTTGATGACTATATCGCCTGCTGCGTCAAGCTGAGGGCTCTCACAGGTAGGGTCTACAAGGTTCGCCCGCCTACAGCGTTTCATTTCTCAGTGCTTTAGTGGTTGCTTCAGTGCACTTTTAGCAATACTCTTAAGCATAGCTGCGTAATAGTTTTTCTTTTCAGAATTTTTTTGGAGTAGTGAGTAATCTTAACTGGCCAGGCACAGTGTGGCACAGGCCTGTAATCTCTGCTGCTCAGGAGTCTGAGCAGGAGGATTGCAAGTTTGAGGCCAGCCTGGCCGCTTAACAAGATCCTATCTTACAAAGGTGTGGGTACGTAGCTCAGTGGTGGAGTACCCCTGGGTTCAGTCCCTGGCACTGAGAAAAATAGACAAAACTGAAATTAAATTGTTCTGAATGTTCCAAAATATAACCAGTCAGTCTGTGCTTTTCTTTTTGGGAAGTGGTGGAGACTAACCACATAAGTACATAGATACTTCTTAATTAGGAAAAAGATGGATAGAGTACTCAGATGGTAAACAGCCTGTGATTAGATACGCCAGCCATTTAATCCCCTACCTGCTGAAGAGTGTTCACGAGAAAAGCATTTACAGTTTACTCTTCAGGTGTTTCATGTTCTACAGGGCAGTGACTCCCAGTCACGCTCTGATCAGCTGTGCACAAAGTAAAGCTAGGCTAACACGTAGTAGAGCACCTGCCTTCCATGCAGGAGGCCCTGAGGGCCTGGTTTCAATCCACTACACTGAGAGAGTGTAACGGCAGGTCATAAGGGGTGAATACGATCAAAATATATATATTGAAACATCCCCAAACTGTGAAACTAAGTGGGTGAGGCAAGAGTCATCGAGGTGCTGGGGGAAATAATTATAGGATGGCGTATGTGTGTACAAATCTGCCAAAAAAAAACCCTTACATGGAGAGGGAAAAGTATCCATGTTAAGAAGTTTGGAATTCTGTGTTTTCATCACAAGTAATGGTCTTAGAAGTTGCACAACTTTTACTGACTTTGGGATAAGGTATTTTCTCCCAGCTCCACAGCAGGGAAAAAAAATTGGCCAACTTCTGCCTATTATATCACTTTACATAGTAAGTCTTTTATAGTCATATAATTGGCTTCTTTGCTTTGGTCTTTTATGTTGAGTTCTGTACAATTTAACGTTACTGCAGTTTGAACTTAATACCACAATAATTAACTGTTGTGGCTTTCGGAAAGCTGTTTAAAGGAAACCTATAAATTTTCTGTGTTTTTCAGATAGCTTTCGAAGACGGGATTCTGGTCAGCAAGGTGTTGTGAATTTCTCATATGATGATGTAAGTCAAAGCAAATTAAAAGATAAACAGATGGATACAGCAAGCACAAAAATGGGCTTCCCCTTTGAAGTTGGCTGTTAAGAACATCTTAAAGATGCCAGAAAAGTCAGGGATCAACGAGGAGTTACCAGCCAAAATGCATTCATTTCATTCACTATTAGCCTTCTCAGCCAGGGATTTAGCTCAGTGGTGCCACCACCTGCCTTGCAAGTGCAAGGTCCTAAATTCAAACCCTGTTACCGCCCCCACCAAAAAAAACAAAAAACTATTAGTCTTCTCTATTAGACTCCTGTTAGATTTGTTTACACAGCATGGGTTCAGGTCGCAACCTGTTGCACTCAAAGCTGGGTCACTCACGCAGGTTTTGTAATTGCTCTGAGACGGTGACTAAAAAGAATGTTATATTAATACCTCTTTCATCAGCAGAGGTAAGGTTTCATCAGAAACGCCCCTCAAACGTTTCTGTTCCTGTCTGCCTTTGTTTTCAGTAACAGTCATTGGGAAGGTGCTTTAACAGCTCAGAGCTGCACAGCCACACTCATATCCCTCATTGACAGCATAAAGCAGCATCATTTTAAAAATCACAGCTGGGCGTAGTGGCACACGCCGGTAATCCCAGCACTTGGAGTCTGAGGCAGGAGGATCACTGTGAGTTCAAGACCAGCCTGGGCTACATAGTGAGTTCCAGGTCAGTCTCAACTACACAGTGAGACTCTGTCTCAAAAAACAAAAAAACAAACAAACAAAAAAGAAATTAAAAATCACAATTTAAAACAAGTTATTTACTAAATTACCCCTTTAAATAAGGTAGAGTAGGGCCTGTAGCCAGTATGAAAATAACCAAGTCACTTATTTGATGTCATTATTGATGGTGCATAACAAAGGAGGGACATGCTTAGTTATTTCTTCATTTTTTTTGCTTGGCCTTTGAGGGGAAAAAAAAATCACCTTAAGAATTGAGATCAGGGCCAGGGAATTAGCTCAGTGGTTCCACCACCCACCTCCTAAGCACAAGGCCCTGAATTCAATCCCAGATACCAAAAAAAAAAAAAAAAAAAAAAAAAAAGAATTGAGCTCAGCTGGGTGTGGTGGAGGCTGAGGCAGGAGGATCACTGTGAGTTCGAGGCTATCCTGGGCTAGTGAGACCCTGTCTCAGAAAGAAAGTGAAAGACAGAAAGAGAGAGAGAGAGAGAGAGAGAGGAAAAGGAAGGAAGGAAGCAAGGAAAGAAGGAGATCACTGATCACTTAGTGTTCTAAAATACTTCTATGAAACAGAGATGCACATATTTTTGGTTTAGAGGCCACTGCAGCTATGAAATGCAGTGTGCTTGCTCCTAAGGATGGCTGTTTTCTTTGTGCATTTTAACTTCTCACCAAGTGCTGTCACTGTTTCCAAAGATGAAGAGGCACCCTGGGGAGTGGAAAAAGTGTGGGCTGCTCCATCTAAGAGATTTCTAAATGCCCTGGTCTTCGGGGGTTTTTTATAAAATAGGGATGACTAGGCTTGGCTTTGTGGAAGAGATGCAAGGATTAGTAACACACAAGGCCTTGCTGGTTTCAGCGAATAAAAAAGAAAACTGACAGAGCAGAGCCTATTACTGTGTGCTTAGTGGGGAAGTCAGCATTTTATATGTTCACTTTGGAACATTTCATAGCCAGAACTGATGCTCAGAACTTGTGTTTCTGAATTGTCGAAGGGTCAGCTGTTCTGTTTCTATTCCCTTTAATAAAGCTGATTTTAAAGGAATAAAGTGTTTAAAGGTACTACATTAGAGTAGTGGAATAAAACTGTGGTGTGGAAGTCCCCATGTGACACAGCTGTATGAACTCTAGTTTTTGTGTCTGTGGGTCCTTATGTTTCACTATGATCGCTTCTACAGTGTTAAATATTACTTGGGACTTAAATAGGTCTTTTTCCATTGAAGCAGTATCTCCTTCCTGTAAGATGGGAGAAACAACTGGATTTTAGACTCTTAAAAAAAAAAAAGAACTTTTTAATCCATCATTTACTCGTACCTTAAAAAGTTGTGGGGGTTTTTAAAACCACTATTCCAAGTTAGAAAACTGAAACGTCAGCTACGTAAGCATAGACTAGTGTCCTGGGAGTTCTGAGGTCTGTGATGTAACACCGGCTTTCCTCTCTTTCAGTTCATTCAGTGTGTCATGACTGTTTAAGTCAAAAGGAAGCTGTCTGAACGTAACATTCCAACTGGAGTCCACATTTGCTTATTCTGCCTTTAGTGACCCGCATAATCGTTCCTCGCTGCTTTCCCCAACAGCTGTTGTAAGGTCTATTACTTGACACACAGTTAAACTTTGGTTTTGATAATGAATTCTTTGGAACTTTAATAATGCAAAGTCAAGTCTGTTGTACCGATTAGAACTTCCTTAACTCATTATCAATCGTGCCTTATTTTCCTTTTAAACCTCTTTTATATGAGAATGCAGAATACTTAAGGTGCATTATGTGCTTTTCATTATGAGACATGAAGAACTTTTCATTAAACTACAGCTGTGTGGCTTTCCTCCCCAAAAGGAATGAGGTTGAAAATGTGTGGAGTATTCTTATGTAAATGATGCAGACCCTCTTGGGCACAGAAAACAAACAAACGGGGTCATCCATGTCAGGGTGCAGCTGAGTAGAAATTCAGTGGCTTTTATTTAGACTTCCACGTTTTGATGACCTCATCAATGAACAGAACAGGGAAAACCGGGTGATCATTTTCGGCCTCTCCCATTTGAATGGCAGATACCGTCACCGACTTCTTTGTACTTGAAAATCTTGAATATTATAAACTTAGCTGTTTTTAAAAATCGATAAAAAAGCCTAAGAAATATATTTTAAAATATTATCGTTTTTCACTAAACAATTCTAAGTGACTTTAATTCTACTTACTCGTTTTACCATTTTCCAAATTTTCTATACAGATTCTTCCATTTTAAAATCAGAAAAGGGGACAACCCACTTTCCTGGGCCCTCTTCTGTCTTTCTTGGACAGAAGCTTTCTCTGAATAGATACTTCCTGCTCTTAAAAAATAAAATAAAATCAGAAGATATACTAATTTGTAAAGTATTGATAAATCCATTTTGATATGTGATGTGTTCATACTTTTTTTGGCTTTTGGTTTTATGTTTTTGTGTTGTTGTTTGTTTTTTTTTTTTTTTTTTTTTTGAGACAGGGTCTCACTATGTAGCTGAGACTGACCTGGAACTCACTATGTAGCCCAGGCTGGTCTTGAACTCACAGCGATCCTCCTGCCTCAGCCTCCCAAGTGCTGGGATTACAGGCCTGTGCCACCACGCCTGGCTTTCATACTTTTAATAATATACAGCAAAAAGCCTGGAATGGGTGTCCCAAAAGTCTTCTTGGCCAGCACTGATAAGAGTCAGAGATTTGTTCTCTTTTCTGCCAGTTTTCTAAATCATCTCTAATAAGCACTGTATAATAGAAGACTTTTAAAAAAATTAAACCATGGTCTTTCAGTAAGGTCTAGTTTCCTGTGCTGCTGGCCCCTCATACTGTGTGGTTTGGTCATTTTCGATAACCCCTGGAGTGTGTTTTTTAAAATATTACCTACATTTGGGGGTAGTTTGAAATACGAAAAAGTATGTAGTATAACAAGCACCAACAGGATTTCTATTTCTTAAGTTTAAAACTGGCTTGGTTTGCCTTTTTTTTCTAAGAGTTTTACAGATAAAAAGTGGTCCTACTCTATTTTCTTCTGGCCAGGAGTGTATTTGTCTTATTGTAGGGCACAGTGTGAGCGTTACCATTCAACTGAACGAAAATAAAAGTTTTCTAAGCTTCTTTAGTCTGATTTCACTAACACTTTTTTAAATATTGAGCATATTTAAATATATTTTGTAAGTATTTATTGAACCCTTAGTTTTTGTGTTAAGTAGTTTCGCCCAGATTACAGGTCAGAGTACAGATCATCCCGCTGTGTCTCACACAGTGAATCTAGAGTTCATCCTAGACCTGTCGTCTGCATCCACAAAGCTTTGCTCAGGCCTAGGCTGCCCAGAAAGGGTCAGAAGGCGCTCAGAGAGCCAAGAGGCAGGGACTCGCCTTCAACATTCCAGTACCAAGACTCACCGCGTCTTCTAATAAATCTTAGCTTACAGAAATAATTTCCTGGGTAAGTGTACTAGTAAGGAAGAAGGCTATTGCTGACCCAAAGTTACGGGCCATCTTTGATCATCGTAGCCCTGTGATAAATCCCATATGTGCTACATCGATCTTGGTTCTGAATTTGCTTTTGGGTAAATAACCAGAGTATTATAAACCACACTTCCAGTATCAATTAATTCAGCTTTAACTACTGATACTTTGAAAAAAGTTTTGTCTTCTCTGCTGTTTGTACCATTTCTTTCCAAGAGCATGGAGCTTGGTCTTCATGATGTCCTGCGGTTAGGAGGTTTCCCTCGCCTTTATGAATTTGACACAGCAAGCGGTTTTCTTTCTTTAATCACCACCAAAGACTTCAAGAGGCTCATGTTGCCTTACTCCTACTTTAGGTTATTTCATTCATTGTGTACTTCCAGTGCAGCCTCCCCTACTTCTTTAAAATGGTTTCTTGGTCCATTTATTTATTTTTATTAAAGTTAAGCATGGTAAAGTTGTGGGCTCAAAGTTGAATATTTCAGCTAATGGAAGTAAGTTCCTGAGATCACTCCAACTCAGGATTGTATTTTATTTTTGAGATGTGTCCTTTGGTTTAGTGCTCCAAAAGATTTTTTTTTTTTTAAAGGCAGTCTCCCTTTGTAATTCAGGCCGGCCCAGAACTCACTGTGTAGCTCAGGCTGGCCTCAAACTCACAGATTCTCTTGCCTCAGCCTGCCGAGTGCTGGAATTACAGGTGTGTGCCACCACGCTAGGCTGGGCTGAGATTCATGATTCATAAAGAACATTCCTCATGCCCCCAGAGGGATGAGGCTGCCAGAGGACCAGGACTCCTGGGAGACAGCTGGCACACACGCGTCAGAACAGCCATCAGGTGAAAGCCGACTCCTCCTGAGTCAGGTTACACGTAGACTTCAGCATGTTATTCCAGGCTGTACCTAAGATAGCTTGTGAACTAATGCTTTTGTAGTCTCTGGCCTAGACTTTGTTTTGGCTACATTACTATTTCAATGCTCATCTAAATGGATTATAGGCCTGGAGTGCTATAAATATAAGAAGTAGATCTGTATGTCATTAATTTCTAATCTTACAACAAATGTACGAACTGCTCATCAATAACTTTCCTCCCCAGTGTAGCAGTGCCCTGTTCACTTTATTCCTTGGCAGATTAGGAGCTGAAGCCAAAGAAACTGCACATGGCAAAGTAGTAACTGGTAATGAAAATGGATACTTGGGAGACACAAGGGCGAGAGTGGAACCATTTTCAGGCAGCAATAACCATGAACTGGAGCTCATCCAATAAGCACCCTGACTGGGCTGTCTAGGACAGGGCATAAAAAATTAATCTTTCTGAAGGTGAGGGGAGTGGCTTTAGGCAGAGCACGTGGATAAAGTAGAGGGCCCTTCATGTGCCACCTGACCACGGAAACTGCCCGGCAAATGGAGCCCTGGCGCTTTACTGGAAGACTGCTGCATTTCTCGTGCTAGGAGTCTCTTCTGCCGTGGTTCCCTAGAAAAGTACCCCATCAGAGCCTCTGAAAGAGAAATAGCTAGTAGGAAAAAAAGGATTAAAGAAAGTCGTGCATCAAAATAACAAGTCTTTTATTCAAAGTTGCTTTATTGATGTTACAATGAGAGTAACATAGAAAACTGTAGTATTGTATTTGCTTCGGAAATGAATACTAATAAAATTGTGCCAGAAGTTTAAACCTCATTAAGTGATCTTTAAAAACAGCAAGATTTTGTTGACTTACAATGTGAAGAACAATTTTGTAACTTGAACAGCCATAAAACAAATCACACTCGCTCAGGAAAGCAGTTGCTGTATACATTTCCACTGGCTTTGCCAAAACCCAACAAGTTTTAAAATAGCTTAAGAACCTGAAGTGCAGCACTGCTAGCAGAGAGAATGTTAGAAGGATGCAAATCGAAGTATATACATGAGTGCCTGGGTATCAAAAGTGAAACCATGCTACGAATACCTCCCCGATGGCTGTCCTCATCTGCAGGTGGGCAGTGTGCCTTGGACACCGTGGACACGGTAAACACGAGTACAGGCCTACACCAGCCAACACACAAAGTACATCGATTCGGTGGAACACCTAGTTTCTGAAAGTTGTCTTTTGAGGATCCTAGTCTGGAGGGGCAACGCTTCCAATGGGTTAAAAGAAAAAAATAGGGCTGGGAGTAGCTCAGTGGTTCCAGCACCTGCCTCGCAAGTTCAAGGACCTGAATTCGATCCCCAGTACCAAAAAAAAAAAAAAAAAAAAAAAAAAAAAAAA